ATGAGATGACTTTCATGATCTCATCAGTTGTAAGACTGGAAAACTGGGTCAGTAAGGGGGAAGGGAAATCCTGGGTGTGTAGTGTAGTGAATGGGGTGGAAGAGAATGTCTGGCAGATTTCGCCAATCCTTTCATCAAAGAAGGTGGCAAAGTCTTCAGCAGTCAGGGAGGATGGAGCAGGAGGAGTTGGAGGGTTGAGTAGTGATGAAAAGATATTATGGAGTTTACGGGGATCATGTGAGGATAGCTCAAGTTTTTCCTTGTAAAAGGCAGTTTTAGCTGCAGTCACATCCGAAGAGAATTTGGATAGAAGAGTTATACATTATAATTTTGGTGGTTCTGGGAGCTGCTGCGCTGGTATGACTGGCGCTGTGAAGTTCTATAAAAAGTTAGTTTTATATTATTCTGTAATCCTGTTTGTCTGTTCAAAGAGTACTACAACGGGACTAAGACGTGAATCTGTACAAAGTGTCGCATATTTGACGGAACCTCTGGCAAAGTGTAAATGTAAAGAATCTGTTAAACTGGGTATGTGTTACATAGTAATTGGATCATAATTACGCTTAGTGTAGTGCAGAAAGTAAGATACAGTACCTGGCTCTGGGCTATCATCTAGGATCAGCTGCCCATCTATAAACGTCCGTGTCAGCAAAAGGCAGATTCTTCTGGTTGTCAGTGACTTCCATTAGCAAAATGGATGACGTCGCATTTTGGATGCAGAAACACAGACGTAGCAATGACTTGTGGAAGTCAGCCACTTTGAAAGGTTGTCCTGGCCAGTTGAGTGAATCTAGCTATAGGGAGTGATCTGTAGTAAATGAAGTTTCAAAAATGTATTGTATTTTTCTGGATCAGATGCCGCATTATGTAAACCTTGTGTAAGTTTTAAGATGTGCTTGTTCACTGTAATATACTGGAATGACAGGAGTCTGAGGTGTCCAGAACTCTTTACTGACTAGGTGTCGTACAGAACAGAACATAAATCATCGGCCAGCGTCTCAAATCAAACGACAACTTCCCCTTTCCCTAGTGGGTCACTCCCCATGCCCCTCCCAATCTTTGCTCTCTTAAAGGGGCTTCATTTATCACAACTTATACAGTATATAGTCAAAACACTACATTCACTAAGATGTGTCTGAGATTAAACTATTTCCTTCGGGATAATAAAAGTTTCCCGATTCTGATTCTTTGTGGAGAATCTAAGTTTGACCAAATGAATCACTTCCTGCTTGTGCACTTATTTTTTTTTTTATGTTGGCAGGTCCTGATAAATCCATTGCGGATTCCTCCAGAACCGCATGCTCTGCAAAATAAAAATTTCTGCAGTTTTAGGAGTTTGCAGATTATCTGTTACTGCACGTTTTTGTTCCCTCCCAGCTCCCTGCCAGACAGTCCTGTATCTGTGTTTGTCAGCACAGCAGAAGCTGTGACTGATGGCGACAGAGACTCTGTCTTAGTGTTTCTTCAGGAGAAGATGCCACGCACCAAATCGTAGCACCTCAGACCCCGTGCCACTCAGAGAGACACATGCAAGTTTTTCATGGCACAACACCGAGCACTACAGTCCTATTTATTTTTCTTTATTTTAGCTATATGATTCACCTTATAGTATAAGGTTAAGTACATATCAGATATTGTAATGACCAAGCGAAGTGTTCAACATCAAGATTTTCTCAAATTTTAGATTCTTCAAAGCAGCCCCCTCTTGCTTCGATAACAGCACTGCAGACTCCTGCAATTCATCCAGCCACTTTGCAGATGTATATATACACTTTATTTTCTCCTTGTGAGCACATTTGTTTTATCTATTTTTTGATTTTCTTTTATATGCTGTAACTCTTCATTCGCGCTTCAATGCGAGATTAAGCCGCAGTGTTTTTTGGATCTAAAAATAGATTACCACCGAAAGTTTGTTTCCTTACACTAAGTGGTCGGGTACAATACGGAGGCAGATGTTCGTGTGTAGAGGGCAGGTGGTGTGTGTGTGACTGCTTTGTATTTTTCTTTTATCATCTGACATTTTAGTTTTGTTCCCTTTTCTGTCTGAGGTGAATTCAAGAGGAAATACAGCCACGAATGACAGTTATTTTATTTTGTCTTGCTTGTTAAATATCTTCAACTCTGTTAAGCTTCTATTTTTCCAAGGATTTTATCTTAATCTTGAAAAATGGACTGAAAAAGCTGAAAATCCTCCCCATATATTTAATGTAAACTCAAAGATATTGTTCATTAATTTAAAGCATGCATTTCCTGTTATGTACAGTATAAAGTTTCCATGATCATACCTTTGTGGTTTATTTTGATTTCTTCTGCACTAAATCCTTCCGAAAGCCCGCCCATTGACCACATCCGCTTTATTTTTTCATTAAAATGGAAAAAGGCTAACATTTCATGTTCAATGCCCTTGAATAGACACAAACATATCTGCTAGTTCCATACTGGCCCAGTGAAGTGAGTACAAGTCATGTGACATGAAAATAAACATTTAAAATGGCCTTGCTCACATGGTGAAGTTCAGAACATTTTTTTCCCTCTATAGAAAACAATTGCCCATACCTGCCCTTTTTCTTGTTTAAATGTGGTAGAAAGTGGAGGAAATTATTGTTCTCTGTGTCCCAAGTAATAAAAAAGTCTCAATAATAAATCAATATTGTCCCAAAAAGAAGCCCAATGACACACCAGACAGTCGTTTTCACCGCTGAAGCAGATAATGAAAAATAATGAATTATGAAAAACAATTTGTTCAGTTCTTACAGTTTAACGTAATTTGTATTATATCTTCAAATTTATTTGACTGAATTTTGTACTTTGCATTTCAGTAAATTTTATAAGAAGATGGCATGGAGACAATGTAGTTGAAAAGTCCCTAAAGAACAGTATTTTAATTGAAGCTGTAATGAATTTGCTTATTCCATCTTTGTATAAAAACACTCGTAACATAACAAACCTTTTCCTCCCCCGTGTCTTCTCATTTAGCTTTGCAAGAGCACTCTTTACTGCGACACCTAAATCTCTCACTGGGACACCCCAGCCGCCTGCGGAGGTGGTGATCTGTTTGCGTCCGACTGAAAGCCCACCTGCCCTGAAGCAGCGGGATCCCTCTCCGGTGGTACCTGGACAGACCTCCAGGAGCAGCCGTGGTGGCTCCGCCCCCCAGGTTCCAGTCGGAAGAGGGCTGGCTAAGCCCACAGCAGGACTCGCGTTTGCTAGCCCAAGGCCATGCTGCCGTCCCTCCTTCTCCCGGCCCTGTAATGTCATCCACGCATCCCTTAAGCTACCTGGAGCAGGGGTGAAATTTTGGAGCATCAGACCACTTGTCCAAGCAGCAGCTACAGCAGAGGGATATAGAGTCTCAAATCTCCGCAGGTATCAACCGACAGGTCCGTCCCTCTTGCCAATGCAGTCATCGATACTGGACCCCTCGTTCCATTGTGAAACCTCCACAGGTAATGTGCTCCTAGACCCTGCACCTGCATTCTCCAAGTGGGTCTCCTGGGCGACTCAGATCGCCCGATATCCCTGTTCTCTCTCCTGGCTGAATTTCTCCCCAGTCTGCCCTTGTGAATGCAGGTGCGCTGCTTATTGTCAGGAATGGCATGGATACTGGATGAAGCAGCTCCGCTGACACAGGTTCGACTCCATGAACCATCTTTGGGGTGAAACCACTCTGGTCCTTTAGAGTAAGGTACAGTATAAACATAAAGTAACAAGATTAAATTAATCAGGTGCACATAAACATGAACACAGTACTTGTCAGATTACTAGTTTAGGACATACATCAAGTATACAGTACTTTTGACTTTAAATTATTCTCACCTAATTCATTTTAATAATTTTGCTTCAGATTCTCTGTAATATTTTTACATTTCACAGAAACTAATTTAGCATATTTATATCCTGCAAAGCAGAACTGAAGCCTGCAAAGGATTGGGTAACACTTTACTTGAGAAGGCACTGTAGTAGTACACTCTGGCTTATAGTAAACAAGTAGTCCGCTTAGTGTTCATTTTCAAATTTTTATACATGGCAAAATATGGAAAAAATTAAACCTACATGGTAATTCTTTTTTTTTCTTAGTATACTCCGTATCTATCTAGAGCCAAGTCTGTTCAGACACACAGGGAATTTGTCAATGGCACTCATACATTAGATACTTAAACAGTAAGGATTAGACGATGGTCATATGCAGTCTGGTTTATATATACAACGTGCATGTGTGGATGATAAGTGTATAAAAAGTGCAAGGAATGCTGGAATAAATGCAATATGCACAATACAATAGCAATGAGTTATTGTGTGGTAAAGGGGTGGTAACTGAGCTGAGATCAGCTGTTCATGAGAGTGATTGCTGTTGGGAAGAGACTGTTCTTGTGTTTGTTTTGGTGCACAGTGATTTGTAGCACCTGCCAGAGAGGGTAAATTCAAAGAGGTTGTGGCCTGGGGGTGAGGAGTCTGTGACGATTTTCCCTGCACGCTTACTGACTCACGATGAGTACAGGTCCTGGAGGATGGGCAGGGTGACAGGTTATGTCCCAGCTGTGAGGAGTCTGTGATGATTTTCCCTGCCCACTTCCTGACTCCTGGAGGGTGTCTTTGATGTATTTGTCATTGAGAGAAAATGACTTTCTCCGGTCATGTTTTCTGTGCACACATCATTAGCCTCAGGTAGCTAGCCAGTAGCAGACGGGTTACTGCAATCAAAGTAGAAAAAAAAATTACCATAGGTTTAATTTTTTCCATGTATCCTTTGTCAACCTTAAAATGATCACTGTAAACGGAGTACTTGATTACTATAAGCAAATTATTTACTTTTATTTGTACAGTAATGATTCTGTCCGAAGCTTTTTGATCCATATAAGCAGGTTATCACTATAACTGATCACTATAAGCGGGTTCCACTGTAATACACAAAACAATATTTGGTTAATTTATTGCTATAAGTTTAAGCATATATCTAGTCATACAGCCCCTTTTTAAATGTTGCTTATGTGGTAAACCAATGTGTTTAAGAAATGCAAGTGAAAGGGGACTTTAGAATTGAGGGTTAGGAATAAATTCTCTGTTAATACAAAAAGTTACATGGTTTAGCGTTCTGTAAGATCTAACCGTTTCAGTTGTAAGTATGTAGATTTTGGGGTGATTGTTACCTGAAAATGAAAGCGGTTGTCACACTTTCAAAAGTAGTTAGATGCCATCATCTAAGTAAAAGAAGCTCCATCGCATATCATGTGCTGTGTTCTCTGCCGATTAAAGCAAGTTAATAGCATGTAGGCTGTCATACTGATTTGTTTTGAAAGATAGTCTAGTTACATAGTCCAATTCATTTAATGACATTTACTTATGAGATATCTTTTGAGATTCGAAAAAAGATTTATGTTTAATGGGAATTATTTTCTTATTAGGACATGTACAGAGTGCACAAATTAACCTGAAATCGTAACCTGTAGCTGAAGAGAGGCTTTCCAGCATTAAGTGCTCCCTTGTACCACTTACTCGAGGACAGCAGTGCATATGGATAGTTCTACGGTAACGGAATTACGGAATTCTCTGCTGTTGTATCCCAACTATTACATTATATTGCATAACAAGCTGCAAAATGCATGGCATTTTGGTAACATGATTTCTTCTGCTGCAAAATTACTCATATACAAACACATGTGCATTTAGAATGCAGATCCTGTTTTTATGTGCGGTGACCAAATCCACAGTCAGTTGTAGTACTTTCCAAGTTTTTCCTGAAACAGCCATATTTTCTTCTATTGTCATTGCATCTCAGTTCTCATTACTAAATAAAGTCCCGTTTCTTTCACCATCATCCCTGCCTCATGTGATTGGCTTCCCAACCTGACTCCTACAGCCATGAACATAGCTGATATACTGTACATCATGGAGGGTTGCTGTGAAAACAGCTGCCTTTTATTTTGGTTGAGACCTAGAAACTGTGTGAAACTGGTTTTGACAACTTTTTTAATATCCATTTTCCACACTCAAAATTACAGCAATAATAAACTCATTTGCTTCACATTTGATTTTGTTTATTGTATATTTTTCCATGTGAACCTTCATCCTTGAATCTGCAGTGTCTGATTTAAGATTTTTGTTGAGTTCCCAAAACCTAGAAAAAATATGCCGTTACATTGGTTAACTGTAATAATTCACATTTCTGAGGAACAAGAATGTGTGCAAATCTAATTGAGACATTTATGCAAAATGTCTTGTTTTCCTTCAGCTGTGCAACCTACACTGCCTGGTACTTTTGCATAACGAAGTAAAAAAGAAAAAACAAGTACTGAAACAAACTTAAAATCTGGCCGTGCAGTCATATTGCAACTGCAAAAGATGTCTGTTAACATGATTCTTTGATCTTTTAAGAAACGAGTGATTAAGTGCACTCATTTCATCTCATGTTGATCTCATTGAAGAACAAAATACTGTATGTGTCCTTAGTAATATAGATATTATTACTTTCTGCATTATTTAACGGAAATACTTTTACCTGTAAAATAGTTTTACATTCCTATAAGCTGAAGTAGAAGGGGAATTCAGAGAAAATACGGCATTCTTTATATTTAAAATGTAATATTTAAAATTGTTAAGGTTTCATTTTTCACTACATACACTTGTGAAATGAACTCGATAAACTGTTACGTACATGTTTAATTCCTCTAATTAATAACCTTTTCCTGTTTCTGTTGGGGTCACAGGTCGGAGTACGAACTCAGCTCCAGCCAGCCAATCAGCCTTCTGCCTGTCCCACCTCCAGGTGCCCCCACTTCCCAGAATCCACGCTGGCCAACGTCTAAGACGTCCAAATATGCCATGCCAAGTTCCACTCCATTATACCATAATACCATTAAGACCATTGCCACGTCTGATGAAGTGAGGCTCCCAGATCATCTGCTAATACCAAATATGTGTATAGATGTTTAATACTGTATATTTAATACGTTTTCCTGTTATTGCAGTTGGTGTTATTTCTAAATTATTTACTTTTTAAACAGATGAAAAAACTGTAAACAGATGTAATTAGTATCATGGCTCACATGACATCAGAAGGAAATTTGCTCAGTCGTCAAAAAAAATACTATACCGGTCAAAAGTTTGGACACACCCATAGAAAGGTTTATTTGTGATACTCTCTAAAAGAGTACTATGGAAGAGGATTAGGGCCACCATGAAAATATTATTTGAATTCTGAATTTACTCTCAGAATTCTGACTTTTTTTCTCAGAATTCTGACTTTTTTTCTAAATTCAGAATTCTGAGAAAAAACTCAGAATTCTGAGATTAAAGTCAGAATTCTGATAAAAAAGTCAGAATTCTGAAAAAAAAAGTCAGAATTCTGAGATTAAAGTCAGAATTCTGATAAAAAAGTCAGAATTCTGAGAAAAAAAGTCAGAATTCAAATAATATTTTCATGGTGGCCCTAATCCTCTTCCGCAAAGTACAGACACTCCTCTCTTAACAACCGTTTTGAGTTCCGTTCATATGACCAAACAAATTGGTCGATAAGCAAGGATCGAGCTGCCCCTTACTCATATTGCAAGCATACTGTACAGGTATTTTCAGTATATGTATAAATGTTTATACAGTAGTGTACTGTATACTGTAATAAACAGTGTACTGTCTTTGCTACATGTTTTCTCTGTATGTGACAGTCGAAAATCTATGAGTGAGACTGTAATAAGCCAAACACAGAAATGACTTAATTAGGAGATCTCTTATCTAGCACAGCAAAGTTACAAGCTAGCCGATAAGTGCTAACGTTAATCATCCATGGAAATACAAATAGATGATGCGATAACATATGCATGCATTGCTAATGAGTATCTCCATTGAATCTAGGGTGACCAGATAATCCATGTGAGGGAGGACACTTTGAGCTACTTCGGGTTTTACAAACTAATTTCAAACTGAAAGGCTCCTGTGCTCGGCTAATTAGTTCAGCTCTTCTTCTAGTGACACATGCATGATTATAGGAGACTGACCAATTAGCACACAGTAAGAACTCAGTGCTCAAGTGAAATCCAGGTCCTTTTAATTGAAATGGTAGTTTACAAATCCTGTCCTAGCTCAGAGTGTCCTCCCTGACATGGATTATCTGGTCACCCTAATTGAATCACTGTTAGTATCCTTTTGCAAATTACCGAACTAAAACAGCGCATAGAAAATCAATGACACTTGCACATATTAACTAAGGCACAAAGCAAGTATAAAACTTACAGCCATTGCTGTCGCAGACGTATGAAAAATGTAAGACAGAGGAAAACTTCCGCACGTCTGTGTTTTCCGCGCTACTGGAGGTTCCCGGTCCCACACTGCAAAGCAAATGCATCAAACTAAAGGCAACGGTTACGGCATATCAAAATAAAGGTCAATTACCGCAAATAATATACAACCCACATAAATGAGAGAGCAGAACAAACAGGATTGAACAGAAACACCACACTGCCATTTCCATGGCCAAAGATCTCGTACAGCATCCAATACCGACCATTTTGACTTTCTTTAGGTCAGGCGGCCAGGTCATGTGATGTGACGCTATATCGCTCTCCTTTGTAGGCGGCTTAATTGGTGTGTCCAAACTTTTAATTGGCACTGTCTGTACAATATGCACATTTTACAAATCAATGACTGGTATAATTTAGATATACTTTAACAGATTTACTTTTTGGGAGGGATGTACTGTAAATAAAATACAATTTGTAATAGTTTGCAAGTGTTATAAACAAACGTGTGGTAATTGAGGCATGCAAAAAAAAATATTTTTTTTGGGGTTTGTGGCACAGGGGCAGGGCAAATATGGGTAAGGTTGAACCAGAACACATAACATTTTTGAGATGTACTCATGCACTCACACCAACAAAATAAACCTTTGCCAAAATTTTTTAATTTTTTCATGAGCTATCAAAAAAGCAGAAAATTACATATTAGTCTCGCACTATTTTTTTTGTTTAGCAATACTTAACAACCAGTGGGTATATTGCTCCTTTGATATTTGAAAATAATACACATATGTAATTGGTTATTTATGCAGATAGGGATATTTACAAAGTAGATAATATTCCAGCTTCTGTATTTAACACTTCCTTGGTACTTAGCTCTGCAAAATGTCATGAGAACATAAATACTGCTATGAACTTGGACAAGATAAAAGAAAAACAACCTTGAGAAAGTACAATATATACATGATTTGCATAATATGGGATAAAATTTCACACTTGTTCACTTCGAATGGCCCCCTCTGGTTTGTAAATTTCTTATGTTCTTCAGGCTTGTTCAGGCTCATTCAGGCGGACTGGAAGTAACTTCGCTCGCTGTTCTTTGAAGTTCAGCTGGACCCGTCCTGGGTGGACAGAAGATGACAGACAGCCTTTGGTATCAGACGTAGCTGTTGCTTGTGGTGGTTGCTCTCGTCGACGTGAACAGCGAACTTATCCTATCCGCTTCCAGGTGGCGTTTTAGCCAGGGAGAGCGACTCAGCATACGCAGGAGGTCCCGGCGGAATTTAACTGCCAGGAAGGCGTAGAGAATCGGGTTAAGGCAGCTGTGCATATAACCGATGCTCTCTGATACCACAACAACCTTGTCAAGCAGTTTCAAAGCCTCACAGGGCAAATCTATAATATTCCAAATGGTGAGACTCTCCGTTACCAGGGATATGTTGTAAGGAAGCCAGCAAAAGAGGAAAATGATGGTGATGATCATGGCGAGACGGATGGCCCCTTGCTTCTCCCTGCTGGTCCCTCTTTGGCACAGCGTGAATACAACTGCTGAGTAGCAATAGGTCATGACTACCAAAGGCAGGAAGAAACACAAGTGGGCAATGAGGCGTGAAGCAAAGAGCCAGTTGCTGGTGTGGTCATCAGAGCCAAACAATTCACACATTAGGAAAGTGGAGTTAGGAAATTCTTCCTTGACATAGTAGAACATTGTGTTGGGTACAGAGAAAGCCAAACAGACTAGCCAGACCACGGCGCAGATCCAGTGTACGCTCAAAGGACGTCGATTGCCCAGGTGCTGCACAGCGTGTACGATGGCTATGTAGCGGTCGAAGCTGATGCAAGCCAGTAGGACACTCCCACAGTGACAGCTGAGGTTTCTGAAGACATGGTGCGTCTTGCATAAGAAGCTGCCAAAAATCCAACCTTGGATGTTGGAAATCAGGATAAAGGGTAAGGTGCAGAGGAGGAGCAGGTCGGCCAGTGCCAGGTGCATCAGGTAAACTTCTGTGATGCGTACGCTGCCTCTGCCGCAGCTGAGCAGGACGGCTAGCATCAGGCCATTCCCTGTCAAACCCACGAGAAGCACCAAGATATACAAAATAGGTAGGATGACTTTTTCATACAGATGCATGTCTGATATTCTATCGCAGTATGTTTCACTTGGCCACCCACTGGAGTTTGGATAATTATAATTCCAAGGCTCTTCCAACTGCACAAAAACAAAAAAGGATAGAACATGAATTACCTCATTTGTTTAATTTACCTGAAATACCTAATCACTTAACCTAATTGAAGAGCAAATTTCCAAAACTCAGTCCATGTTTTGTTGTTCTTCAGACCAATGACCTAACGTCAGAATTCATCATCTTATGTTACAGGACTAGAAACTAAAACTCACATAGCCCTCATATAGTCAAACTAAGAACTTTCATTCAACTTGCCAAAACTCAAAAAGTTTTGTGACATATTACTTACTTATGAAGTGGACTGAGGAGGATTTGGGAATTTGGTCTTCGATTAGCGACAGACAGAACTTATCAGCTGGTGGAAAGAATTATCAGAACTAACATTGTTTTGACAGTTATTGTAAAAAAGTATGTTTTTATTATTTTTATTTTTCTATTATTATCGTTGAAGTCTTTCCCAGCATTGGTTCCAGTTCCAACATATTGTCACTATATGTCGTCACTAACAAACTGTATATAAAAACGACCACCACGAAGATGTGAATCAAAAAGTTAAATCTGTTCTTGTTACGAACTCGGGGCATAGTACAGGCGGCAAAAGATCCACTTGCAGCTCCAACACTAAAGAGTTTTATTTAAGGGAAGTACAGAACACTGGGAATCACACAAAATGAAGGAGCATAAAGGTCAGAAAACTATAACAGAACTTAATACTAAACATGCCACAAAAACCATGATGAAAACACAACCCGGGAACAGGGTAACACAGACAGCAGAACCAGGAACAAGGTACATGGACCAAAACAAGAACACACTGAAATAATCAGAAAAAACCTGG